CGGGGTTCTCCCCCCGGCTCTGGGGGGGGAGGGGGAGCTGGTGGGTCAGAGCAGGGGCGCTGGGAGCCAGGACTCCTGGGTTCTCTCCCCGGCTCTGGGAGGGGAGTGGGGGCTGGCGGGTCAGAGCAGGGAGGGCTGGGAGCCAGGACTCCTGGGTTCTCTTCTATTCCTACTTCTGAGCTTGTGAACTTGGAGCCCCTCTCCTCCCCTCCCCCCCACCCCCCCCGGGTCAGCACACTGGGCCACTTGGTCCACAGGTTGAAATCTCCTCTGGCCACCCGGCTGGCGGGTCTCCCCGGGGGGTCTGGGCTCTCTCTCCTCGTCTCCGGGGCCCCAGGCCCCCCTGCTCTGTGACCTGTCTCTGTCTGTCTGTCTGTCCGTCCCTCTCCAGGAGTATATCAGGCACAAGTTAGAGGAGGAGCAGAGGCAGCTAGAAATCCTCCAGCAGCAGCTACTGCAGGAACAGGCCCTGCTTCTGGTAACCGGGCCGCGCCCCTTGGCCCCGCCCCTGCCTCACAAGTCCCGCCCACCCAGCCCTGCTTGGGGGTGGGGCATCCCCCAGTTGGAGCAGCCTGGGGGCTGCTCTGAGCTGTGCTCGGCCATGGACAATACCCACAATGCAGTGCACCCTCAAGGCTGGGCCGGGCCACGGGGGGTGTTTGGCCTGGGGCAGGGGGTGGCGCCTGGCCAGGCTGCGAGGGTGGGGGTTCTGGGGGGCAGAGATCCCCCTCAGCCCATAGCTGCCCCCATCCGGTGGGGGTGGGAAGAGCTGCTGGGCGCCACCCCAGGGAGGGCAAGGTCTGAGATTCACCCCTCCTAGCCCTGCCTCCTCCCAGGGGCCATCTCCAGGGTGTGCGTGTCAGGACGCCTGGGTTCCCCCTGCATGCGTCTGGGCGTGTCAGGACGCCTGGGCTCCCCCTGTGTGTGTGCGTGCGTGTCAGGACGCCTGGGTTCCCCTTGCGTGCGTCTGGGTGTGTCAGGACGCCTGGGTTCCCCTTGCGTGCGTCTGGGTGTGTCAGGATGCCTGGGTTCCCCCTGCGTGCGTCTGGGCGTGGCAGGACGCCCGGGTTCCCCCTGCGTGCGTCTGGGCGTGGC